TATATATATATATTTTTTGATAGGGCCTTGCTAAATTGTCCAAGCTAAGCTCAAGGGCTCAAACTTGTGAGCCTCCTGCCTCAGCCTCCCAGAGTTCTGGGATTGCAGATATGTACCATTGTACCTGCCTAAATGTGAAACTTTTTAAATTGTGTGAACATAGGCAAAAGTGCTTTTCCTTTCCCCCTGTTAGCAACGTACAGTCTTGTTAACATCATGAAGCATTTCTCCCCAGCACTAGGCACCGGGGAGCAAGCCAGCTCTTTAAGGTTTGACTTCTTTCAATCTAGCCACAGAGAGAAACTTGCATATGTTTAGACTGCTTCTTCTAGCTGTGATCTCACACCTGGCTCCTCTTCTGGGGACTCCTGGAGTCTCTTAGAAATGAGATGGCCTGTCTGGTCTCTCTCCTCAGGGTCACTCTGTCCTGTGGGTCCATGCTGCCTCTACAAGCTCTACACTGGGGTGGAAAGACATCCCAGGTTTCTAGAGGCAGAGTCCATTTATGCATCATCTGTGTGTATGTGCGTGTGCGTGTGCGTGTGCGTGTGCGGTCTTGTAGTCCTGCTTTACAGAGCAGCTGTGCAGACTGGGTGTGATATCTGCTAACCGCCCCAGGGCAACCACAGAGCAGTCAGTGGGTCGGAAGCCAACTACACCTCCAATGACCTGAAGGGCTGGTGAGGAGCGCCCCCTGGCGGACACCTGGTGCAACCACAGGCAGGAGACCGCAGTACCGCACCAGGAGCAGAGGACTGAGGAATGGCTTCCGGATCTGCGCGCTGGGCTCACTTCCTGGCTCTGGCCCTAGGCCAGGCCCATTTCCCATGTCACGTGTCGGGTGGCATTGCCCGCCCGGCCACAACAAGAATCCGGGGGACTTGGGCCTGGGCCACCTTACCAACCGGGGCTCTGACCACCTCCTGCCCCCGTTCCGTTTCTCCCAGGGCGCTGTCCACGCCACAGGCTCCCAGGCACATCGGAACTTGCGCAGGCTGATCCCCCACAGGAGTCGGGAAGGGAAGAGGCGGAGGGACTGCTTCCTGCCTTTCCCTCCCAAGGTTTGGAGGACGCTCCCGCACCCGTTTTCTCCCAAGCCCTTTGCTTCTGCTACCACTTTAGGCCCCGTCTTGGTGATTGGCACTGCTGTTCTCCTGTCACCGGACTTGGACCTGAGCTCATTTCCCTGATTCAGCACACACACACACACACACACACACACACACACACACACACACACTATTCATCAGAGGAGAGAAAGTTCTGGAAGCTTTTTTCTTTTTGCAGTACTGGGAATTGAACCAGGGTGTCATGCTTGCCCCCACTCGTACTATTGAACACCCAGGACTTTTTTATTTTTGAGGCGAAGTCTTGCCAAATTACTTAGGCTGGTCCTGAACTTGTTATCCTCCTGCCTCAGCTTCCCAACTAGCTGGATTTACAGGCTTGTGCCACTGCCATCGACTTCGCCTTTCTCTCTCTCTCTCTCTCTCTCTCTCTCTCTCTCTCTCTCTCTCTCTCTCTCTTTAAGAGAAATCTGCTGCCAATGAAAAGCTAGAAAGTTAGAGGTCAGTGATAGGGGTATCTCAGTGCACGGAAGAAAGCAGGTTGGTATTAGACCCGCAGACTGAACGGCGGCGGGGGGCAGCAGATGTTGTGCTGCTAAAAATTAAGGGTGGCATGATCCAGATTCCCCAAGTCCAGAAGCTCCAAATCCCCTAGAGGACAAATGGCATAAACGTAAATACAAAGCGTCAGACTTTAGGTAGCAGGGTTTTTCTAAGATGAAAACCCAGAAGAATTTGGGTTGAATTTCTAGGTCATGTGGTGTGAGGAAAGACTGTTCTCTGCATATTTTGCCTCCTCTGAGACAGGGTCCCGGGACAGAACTCGCTGAAGGGAGTAGAGGGCTGGGGGTCCCCTCTCACCTTCACTGCCATCAGATGAACAGAATTCTCACTGTCTCAGATGGTTAATGTGGGGTTAGCAGAAACAACGGACATAAACTACATAGCCAAGCCGTGGCGCACAGTGAGGCCTCAGTAAATATTAGTCATCATCATGGCTGAGAGGACGATACTGCAGAGACGCGTATGAGCTGTTCCCCAAAAGGTTCCTTTGGCGTTTCGGCTACACAGTGCCAAGAAACGATGCTGCAAAAGCGAACTGCTGCCTCCGCGCCCACCCGGGGCTGGCCACGCCTCCAAGCGGGCAGGCCCCGCCCCGCGGCCTCCGGAAGGCCCCGGCACTTGCGGCCCCGCCCACCTGGC